GCACTAGTGAGACAGCTGCGGCGATGGAGATTTGAAATGAAGAGAATGCACCAAAATGAAACCCTCTGCCGGCAATAGAGATTTTCAACGCCAACCATGGAGGTCTTTGGTGTTCCAAAGATGGAGATCTTTAAGTGTGGATTGTGGTGTGAATTGAAACAGTGTGTTGCCTTAGGTTTAGTAGGGTTTGTAATGGAAAGAAAATATATGAACTAAGATATTTTCAAATTTCAAAAATTATTGTGTGTGAACTAAGTAATGGTGTGCACTAAAAGGATAGGTGGTGTGTAAATAGAATTTAACCTATTTTTTATTTATAGACTATTTTAGCCCAAATCCAACTTCCCCAAACACTCCCAATGTCTTTCTCCCAATTGCCACTACCCTTATGTCCCATTTAAAAAGAAGGCTTTTTTCTTAAAGCCCCATTATCTTCTTTTTTATTATTATTCTAATTTGTCTAAACATAAAATTTCATTTTTGTCCTCATCCCTAACCTTCTAACCCTAATTTTCCAAACCCTAACCCTAATCCCTACCCAGCCTCACCTCACCAACTATTCCTATCACCTCCAGCCATTACCATCCTTCTTTCTTCACCTCCAGCCACCCCTCTCCAACTTCCCCTTGTTAGTCATAGAATGAATAACATGATTTTGATAATTTTGTTGTGATTATGTTTTGATTTATTTTGAGGAATTGATTATAATTGAAAACCTTACTGTTTGATTAAATCTTTATAATCTACATTCTCTCTATGTTAACAAAGCTTTTGGAGGCCAAAATGAGCTTAAACAGGTTAAAGGGTCGACACCAGATTTTAGTATACAATGCTTAAGTGTTGCAGCAACCAAGGGTCGACACCAAGCCTTACAAGGGTCAACACCAGATTTCAGTATACAATGCTTAAGTGTTGCAGCAACCAAGGGTCGACACCAAATTTCAAAATGTTAAGGGTCGACACCAAGACAAAAAAGGATCGACACCAAAAGACAACGAGCAAAGTTTAAGCACTTCCAACAGCAAAGGGTCACCAAGTATTACAAGGGTCTATACCAAATTTCAGTGTACCAAGGGTCGACACCCATCTACATAAGGGTCAACACTAGGAACACCTGGAAATTATACAGAGAAGAAAATAGAGCAAAGGGTCGACACCCAATCTACAAGGGTCGACACCCTTATGTCTGGGTTACAAAAACCCTAGCCACCATTCTAGATCTATAAGTTGGATTTTGTGACATCATCAAGAGACAAATTTTATTCAAATCAAAAGGGATTTTGGGGCAACAACTTCTGACTTAGTGGAGAAAGAATTTTCCACCCACACCATTCCCAAAACATGGAAAAGCAAAAAGCATGGAGACAACTTTATCTCCACCCATCAAGATTTGAATCTCAAGCATGAGCATCACATCTTTTGAGGAGGCTCCACCTCCAACAGCTAGATAACAGCCTGTACATACCCATGCTCTACTCTAACAGCTAGAAGTCTTCTCCTATGCCTAGCTCTAACGACTAGAAGACCCACTTGTGCTTCTTCTCCAACAGACAAAACATTGAAGGCTATAAAGGGAGAACTTCTCCAGATCTAAAGAAAAAGAGAACACCACTGCAATATTCTGAGCATTCAAGTATTATTCTCAATCTCTGATATTCTATTGTACTTTCACTTTCATATCTGAATGTATCTCAAAACTCTCTATGCTCTTACACTTTCATATCTATCTTTTGAGAGAGAAACCTTGTAAAAAAGGACAGTTGTGCCTCTTGTTCTAATTTCTTGTTTTCTAAGTGAAACACTTGTAAAGTGAGGCATTTAGTTGAGAGGTCCTCAACAGATAAGAGTAAGTCCTTTGTAAAAATCCACAAGCTAGGTGAAGCTTGGTGGTGAATTGATTCGATTCACTATAAAGCCTTGTGTTTGAGCTCTTCTTCCATTCTCCTTTATTTCTGTTTTATTGATTGCTTGCTGAAATTATTTACTTAATTAATTACAATCAATTTTCTGCCCATATTTTTTTAATAACCTAATTTACCCCCCTCTTAGGTTGCCTACCTGGGAACACCCCTAACCCTTCCCATGCTCCAGCGGGAGAGACGAATAGAGAGATCACCAGATAGACGTAGAAAGATATCACGAGAGAAATCTGGTTGATAATGGAGATCTCTAGCCATTGGTCGCTACTATCGTGCCCAACCCGCCACTACAATCTCAATCGCGCACAAGAGAGAAATGAGGCTAAATAGAAATGGTAATGAGTGATGATGGTGGTTAGGGATAGAAAAGCGAAGTCACTGCTGTAATCATGCCCTAGCCACTTTGAAATCGCGATCACGTGTAAGAGAAACAAAAAGTATGGTTTGCAATGGAAAGGTTGCTGGAAGGTAGGTCACCGATGGTGGGTAAGGCTGGTGGCAGTGGGAAGAGGTTACCTGAATATGAGTTGGGGATCCAAAGAAGAAGGGTGTAATTGGGATTAAGATGGGGGTTCAAAGAGAAAATAAAAGGGCCTCAATTAAGTAGGTAGGGGTTCAAAGAAGTGAAAGGTCTAAAGAAAAAAAGATAGGAGTAAATATCAGCCTTTTTTAAAAATTGTTAAAACTATGAGGGATTATTAGGAGTGGACATCCGTCCATTGGCTCACTTGGCCCAACCTAGCCCTGTCTTATTTTACTACGGCTTGGAAAAATTATTTTAGCCTATAAGTCCGGGCTATACTAACATTTTCAGCAAGAAATATTAATGGGCTGAGCATGATTTATATTTTCAACCTGGCCCGACCAAGCCAGTATTAAATGAATTAATTATTTATAATACTTTAAAATATATACATTTTATTGAGATCTAGATTTTATCTTTGTTAATTGGGCATATTACAACAACAACAACAACAAAACCAAGGTTTAGTGTGTTTTTCACATTAAACCCCTAACATTTTAATTTTAACAATCTAAACCCTGAATTTTAACCATGTTCCAATGTTGACCTTTCGTCTGTCTTCGTTTGTCTCTGTTAACTTTTTACACTTATTTGAAACACGTGTCACTTTTTGATTCGTCCATAATTATTATAGTTATTTTATTTCTAAATTACTTTTCTTTTTTTTCTATCAGCTCTCTCTCTCTCTCTCTCTCTCTCTCTCTCTCTCTCTCTCTGTGTGTGCAAATCCATTTCTAACCTATACATACACACACATTACATATATATATATATATATTCACTCTTCGTTTTCTCCATTTTTGTCCAATAATGCCTTCACGCCCACCACCACCACCAATCCCAGATTTTTTGGCGCCGCAACCGTCGGAACCACCCACTGACCTTCCTCCACATAACCCATAGCCCCATTTCAACTTCATCCCACCCATCCTCGCCGAAGCCCTCACCATCGCCTGTCTTTTCTTCCTCATCATTCTTTCTCGGAAACTCTCTCGAAAATGCACAACTCTGGTAGATAAAAAAGAGTGACCCAATAGTGAATGGATAGCCACGCCGAGCTTGGTAGAAGATGGTGGTGGTGGAACAATGAAGGGTATTGCTCAAATCCATCACCCTCCGACCTCAGATTTGTCGCCGCCCTCACCGTTTTACTCAAATTCGTTACTTCCACATCTCCATTTCTTCAGATCTGCCACCCTCCTCCACTATCTCTCTTAGATCCGTTGTCACATCTACTATTTCCTTCCTCAAATTTGTTCAATCCCGTCACCATAATACAACCTCTCTCTCTCTCTCTGTGCAAATCCATTTCTAACCTATACATACACACACATTACATATATATATATATATATTCACTCTTCATTTTCTCCATTTTTGTCCAACAATGCCTTCACGCCCACCACCACCACCAATCCCAGATTTTTTGGCGCCGCAACCGTCGAAACCACCCACTGACCTTCCTCCACATAACCCATAGCCCCATTTCAACTTCATCCCACCCATCCTCGCCAAAGCCTTCACCATCGCCTGTCTTTTCTTCCTTATCATTCTCTATCGGAAACTCTCTCGGAAATGCACAACTCTGGTAGATAAAAAAGAGAGACCCAACAGTGAATGGATATACACACATATATGTAATGTGTGTGTATGTATAGATTAAAAATGGATTTGCAGAGAGAGAGAGAGAGTATAAGGACAAATCAAATAAGTGAGAGAGAGAGAGCTTATAGAAAAAAGTAATTTAGAAATAAAATAATTATAATAATTATGAACGAATCAAAAAGTAACACGTGTATCAAATAAATATAAAAAGTTAACAGAAACAAACAAAAACAGACAGAGGGTCAACATTGGAACACGGTTAAAAATTTAGGGTTTAAATTGTTCAAATTAAAATGTTAGGATTTAATGTGAAAAACACGCTAAATCCTGGGTTGGTTTTTTTTTTTTTTTTTTGTAATTTGCCCTTGTTAATTTTATTAAAACTCACATTTGTAGTGATGTGTTATTAAATTTATTTAAGAGAATTTTCAATTTATAAATAAAATCTTTCAATTTATAATGGTACCAATATATTTATTTAAGAAATATGATATGCGATTGAATTTAATTATATAATCATTTAATTTTTATAATATATAACTCGATGGGTAAACTTAAGATTTATAATTATTTTTTATACAAAAATTGAACGGAATGTTAAAATCAAATCAAACTTAAATAAATGTACAATTTCTTAGGAAAGTGTTAGGAATACTAAATTTTCTATCAAATAAATAATTAAATGTCTTATATAAAGGTAGGGTCCACATAATTAGGTGTGGGGCCCATACAATTGGTCCACAAAATTGCGAACCCCATTCTTATGTGAGATATTTAATCATTTATTTAATAAAACATTTGATATCTCTAACATTATCCAATTTCTTATTATGTAGTATCGATCTAATCCGGTTTGAAACCCTAGGGACCATTGTGAAAATGAAAGAACACAAGTCCCATGTTCTCAAAAAAAAAAAAAATCATGTCCTGTTGTAACGTTTATTTATATACACGTGCTTCTCTTCTCTTCTCGCCCTCTTTCTCTCTCTCTCTCTCTAGTCTCTCTTTCGCTCTGCACGGTGAGCCTAGAAGTCGAAGAATCATCAATGCCTTCACCGAAGCGGAAGTCGTCTTCTGATAATAATCTTCTACACCACCATGACTCCTCTCTGGAACAGCCCTCTCGCTGCAAGGAATCGCGACGCCAACGAGGAGGAGCTGAAAATGATGATGATAATGAAGATGAGCGAGACTACGAACAAGATGAAGGAGAAGAAGAGCAACAACAAGAAGAAGTGAAAGAAGAGGAACAAGACTCTGAAGATGAGGGTAACGTATCGTATCTTGTTTGTTTATCTCTTCTAGCTCGATATATATGAATTTGTTTTTGTTTGATGATCGTTTATGGTTTCGATTGTTACTTCTCAGATTCCGATGGAAGTCGTTCGTCTGATGACCCTGCTAACCTACCCGAGTATTCTCTCTCTCTCTCTCTCTATATATATATATATGTTCGTCTTCGTTTTGATTTTTGCTTTGCTTTCTTTCTATGCGTATCCATTTGATTAGTGGTTAGATCGAATGTTTCTGTTTCATTGTCTTTCTAGATGTTCAATGTATCTGATATTTTAATTGCTACTGCTAGATTTTGCATTTTTTACGATCATTTCTGAGCACTGATATGTATATATGGAGTATCGCAATAAATTGAGTTGATCGATGAATGTGTTTGGATAATTTTGGTTTATTGGTTGAATGAAGATGATTTCGGCCTTGCTTTGCCTTTTCTATTCTGCTTGATTTAATGCATGAGAGGTTGTTGCATGCCCCAATTTAAGTTATCTTTTCTATGTTTGTATGGCTGTAATTTTAAGGTGAAATTACTATTCAGTGGGAAGTGGGGCAAATATTTTACTACATGAGAATCTTCTTGGGGTGCAACTTTTGCTGCGTTTTTTACGCAGAAAGAGGGCAACCACATGTGTTTTTGTAATTATTTTTGGTCATGGGCACTGATTTACAATTTCCCCTAATTTTAAAATATAGTTGTTAGGGCCAGTTTGTAAGATTCTGTTAAATGTAACTTTATCATTTCCCATCTTCATGTGGTATTTGAACAAGTTTTTAATAGTCGTAATGAACTCTTTTGAAGCATTGCCATGCAATATATTGGCTTCATGGAAAGAATCCCACTTGGATTATGCCATTTCTGGGCCTTTTATACATCATGTTTTATCTGCTTAGTAACAACAGCTAAAACCCTTCATGTGTGTGCACGTGCATGCTTTTATATATGCTTTACTATGGTTCCTTTTGTCATTCCTTTTGTCTTAGGCAAAAGAACTCTGCTGTATTCACCCTTTACTTAATTGCCCGGCTTTGATTATCTCAGTTTTTCTTCTTTCTTTTTTTTGCCTTTTTGTACTTTTCTCTCTATGTATTTTACTCTTACAAGGATTTTGTGGAGTTTGTGTTAATTGACTATTGCTTATCAAAAGAAAAGAACACTTGTTGACTAACTTAATCTTGCTGGTTCTACTTTTTTGCTGAAATGGAATGGATATCATTTGGCATTCTTTCACAGAATACCAGAAAATCCCTATCTGCTAAATTTCCATTCGACGACAAAAGAGCAATCTGACTTGTGAAAGTCACATCTTTCCTTCTGGTGAAATAATGAATAAAAGGTCCGTGCCTGTTGCACTGGGCTTGGTTTTTTGCCTGCTTGGTGTTACAAGATTTTTCATGTAGATGAGAGAATCTTGTAGATGATCCCTAATGGTTGGGACAAGGCCACATTTTGTTGAGTTCAATGATTTCTGATGACGTGTTTGTTAAATTGTTCGTAATCCCTATTTGTTATTTTTCATTTAATGACATTTTTAGATTATGTACATTATGATCACCCGCAAACTCTTATTGTTTGCCTATTGTATATCTGGTCAAACAAATTCCACACATGCCTATTCCAACACATTAAGCTTCCTGTTTGCACATACAACATTAATTCCTATCATTTACCTTCTTTGGATAAATTATTAATGGCAAGAATCTGACCATGGGCTACACACAAGCAAAAAATGCCACATTTGGGATAGCCTTGGATTTCTAAATCACTCACCATGGAAATGAAGAAATGTGTCACCAAAACACAACCTCATAAAAGGATTTCACCTGAAAGCAACTTGATCTAGAAAGATTCTATATTAGCAAGTCTTGCCCATCCCCAATGTTGGATACCTGGTACAACCTATCCATGAGTGTCATCAACTTTACCAATTCCCAATAGAGCACATCTCTACATAACACAGGGACAGGGCCATAGCTTGGCCAAGGTTGGCCATGGCCCCTCCCACATTCTGGCGAACCCATGTATATATAACTTGCCAAAGAGGCTTTCACAGTTATAATAGTTAAGGTTCTTGATGGTAAATACATTAATATTAGTATTAGAAAAAGTCTTTATTTTTATTTTTTTTTGTTATTAAAAGTTTTAATTTGTGGCTAGGAAACTTTCAGCACATGTAAACCTCCCTCAATCTCCTCTATCCAACATATATAATAACCTCCCTCCCTCTCCTTTTCTCACTCTCTTAGGGGAAAAAAATAGCGTCTCTCGTTCTCTCTCTTGTGAACAAATGAAGGAATAAACAATATCTAAAATTGTTCCACGCCTTTGAGCCTTTTCCAAAATTGCATTGCCACTTTATTCTCAATTCGCAATTATTATTCTCTATGGCTTGAACTAATTCCGAGCAATTTCAACACATCTCAACTTTCCACATTCTCTCTCTACGTTTCTTTCCACTATCTAGCACATATAATAACCTTCCAGCACCCTGTCCTTTTCTCACTTTCTCGGGAAAAAAGATTATACTCTCTCTCTCTTGCGTGCGCGCGTGGAAGCAAATGAAGGAACAAAAAATATCTAAAATTGTTCCACGCTCTAGTCCTTTCCCGAAATTGCACTGCCCCTTTATTCTCAATTCCCAATTATCATTCTTTATGGCATGAACTAATTCCAATCATTGCTCCTCTTTAATTTATGGTCATTAATTTTTGTGGGTTATATTTTTTGAGAGGGAGGTAATGGGTTTTGATTAATTGAGATATGTTTTAAATTAGGACTACTATTTTGTTGTTTCTCCTTTTATTATTATGGTTTGTTTTGCATTTGTTCTAGATAAAAATGTCGAGTATCACTTTGATGGATGACTAAGTAGATATGTACTTAAAAACTATTCATTTTATTGGGTCCATAGGAATATTTGTTTATAATGATCATTTTTTGTTTTATACATTTTAATGGATTGCAAATTAGGGTTTGAAATTATATATGTAATGCATTTTATTTGTAAAAAAAAATTGACATAATGTTTGGCATAAAATGGGATGGTTAAATGTTTGTCGCAAAAGTGAGAGAGTTACTATGTATATTTTGTAAAGGAAATTGACTTTAAACTTGAAAATCTCTCAAAATGGATCACAAAGAAGTCCTATTTTCTTGATTTGAAATCCTATATTTTGAAAGTGATACGTTTGAATGGATTTAATGAGATTACAAAAAAAATTGTAAAATGAGAAAAATGTAAAGGGAGGATAACTATTGATTTTATAAGAGTTAAATGCGCAATAATATAATGCATACCTAGCCTGATGACCCATGCATATGCGATATTTTGAGACTCCATGTTGACTATGTAGAGACCTTAGATACTTGGCTCTTGTCCGTTTTGATGATTTGTAATATGCTATACGACCTTGGTCTGTAGACGTAACTCTAAATATGGTAGCTAAATTTGCAGCTCTTTATGTTTGTATGCCATGCATGAGTTGATTAAACATTTGATGTGGAAGTGAGAGAGTAACTATGTGATATTTTGTGAAGGAAAATAGGAGCAATCTTAGCTTTAAACTTGTAAATCTCTCAAAATGGATCACAAAGGAATTTTCAGCAATTTTTTTTATTTATTATTTCTCTCAAATTGAATTATTCACTTCATTTTCAACAGGAAAATCATCTAATCTCCGGAACCATCAATCAACTCTCTCTCTCTCTCTCTCTCTCTCTCTCTCTCACACACACACACACAGGGACACACTTTTGCTAGCTCCACAACCACTTCTTCAACAAAGTTTTGTTAGAAACATTTAACTTCCTAACACTCAACCCATCTCCATAAACAAACTGTGTCCCATTCTTCCAAATGATATTTGAATTCTTCTGTTATTCCCTACAACAAATCCCTCTGAAGTCTTTCCAGCTTTTTAACAACAAAGGAAAGAATGACAAATGTAATTTGTAGGCAAGCTAGGTAAAGTACTCTTTAACTAGAGTAAGTCTACCCCTTTTGTTAATAGGTATTAACATTTGCATTTTGCCAATATCCTTTACAATCTCTTTACAGCAAGATCCTACACTGCCCAGGTTTTGAGGGATCCAACAGCAGGCCAACTATGATGATGGGAAAGATCAAGTTTGTGCCATTCTGCTTAAACTTTGTAAGATGAAATCCTATAGAATCTTCTTCCTCTCCTTGGAAACTAAGCCAATTGCAACCCTTTCCCATCAAGCAAGCTTATAACATTCCTCATGCATTGCTAAAACCTAAATCTGTAATCTAGATTGATGTAAACCACCACATGATCAGTTGTAGGTGGGATCATCCTAGTATCCTAAAGCTGCATGACATCAGTGGTGGCTGGTGTGGTATGTTCATGCCAAGAACTCTTTATCTTTTGTTATATGGTGACAATAGCTATAAAACAAGAGTAACTGGTAGTTTCATAACAAGCACTACAATTATTGACTTAAGGCTATATTGTCCTAGTAAAAATCTGAAACGTGGTCAAATTACTACCAAATTAATGTGTATAACATGTACGAACTCGGTATCTTGTTTTCTCTTTTCTTCCAAGATCTAGTGTGTCCAATTAAACAATTTTGACAAAGAGGTGCAACTGCACCTCACCTTTTGTTTTGCTTTTCTCCCAAGAGCTTGAATGATGGCTGATCTTGTTGATCAATGTAAATTTTATTGTTGATTGGGTATTATTTATTAACTTTGTCTTTTTACAAATGGGCTTGAATGATGGCTGATCCTGTTGACCAATGTGAATTTTGTTGTTGATTGGGTATTATTTATTAACTGTCTTTTTACAGATGGCTTCTTGTGAAACTACCAGCACTTCGTACATACGTGCAATGCCCAATATGTCTAGGTATAGTTATTATGCTTTTCTATTGTTTCAATCCTTTTTCAATGATGCTGTTTGCAAATCTTTTTCTGCATCTTAATTTAAACATCAGTATTTATGTCCAAAATGTCTAGATACTTGTTTTGAAACTTTTGCTAGGATGTGAGAACTGAAAATGTTTTTGCATGTTGTAATGTAACGCTTTTGGTTCCATAAATATGATTTGTAAAGTTATACACCAAGAAGCACGGACACTTTTGAGAAGGAAGCGTGTCATGTCCGACACCCGTGTTGGACTCCGACACTCTTCAAACACTCTAAAAGGTGTGCCCGACATTTCTTCAATGTGTCTTAATTTAAAAATCAAATTTATAATATCGGACACTTTACCGACACTTCGTGGACACTTAGGCAACACTTCGTGAACTCTCTGAACACGTCCCATGTGACGAATTCCTTCATAATAACCATGTCTTGTATTATTCAAAACATAAGTTACGCACTTTAATGTGAACTCTCTGAACACATCCCATGTGACACATTCCTTCATAATAACAACGTCTTGCATTATTCAAAAGATAACTTATGCACTTTGATTATGTTTTAAAACATTTATAAGGTGAATACATCATGCACACTTTCATCATGTTTTAAAACATTTATAAGGTGAATACATTATGTGCATTACAATGTTCTATAATCATTCTGCATTATTTATAATGTAATTGTTACGTGAATGATATCTTGATGTTTAAGATATGAATTATATAGCCTTTTAATATAATTAGTGTTATGTTATATATTTTTAAAATTTTGTAAAAATATAAAATTTTAACATGTCTCCCGTGTGTCATGTTTTGCACTTTTTTAAAATCGATGTATCAACGTGTCTATGTTGTGTCTGTGTTTGTGCTACTTAGGTTATAGATTGTATAGTTGACCAAAAAAAAATGGGAGAAACGAATAATAAAGTAGTTAACCACATGATTAACATGCTCCAATGGATAAAGTTCATGGTATCAATTACCCAAAGATAATTAGTAAGTTCATGGTCACACCCTCAAAAATTTTAAAAACTCTATATTATACTAGTAATTAGTAAGATAATTTCAAATTAGTGTACTTCGCATCCCTATAATTTCAGTAGTTTGCATTATCAAAATTATAAAGGTCTGCACTCCCAAATTATTTACATAACAAAATTTTAAAAATAGTTTCTTAAGTCTAGTTTTATCAAATATTAATCCATTTTGTTTGTTATTTGTGTCATTTGTTATATTTTTCATTGTTTTAGAGTTATTTATATTCTTCTATTTGTTCTTGTTTGTTACTATTCTTGTTTATGTTCGTATGTTATTCATGTTTTCTTTTCTATAAATCACACTTTAATTTGCTTATGCACCTTATTTTGCATTCATTCTTGTTTGTTTATTCTCTAGAAATGGAATGTTCTTTGGAAATTAAAATATTTTTACATTCAACATTGCATTCTTAAAAATGAGTTCATAAAATTTAATCTCACTTATTGAAAAGAATTATTATTTTATTCATAGAAACATACATTTTCAACTATGAATTTTTTTAAACTAAACCGCGTAATAGGATAGAAGATGATTTTGTAACAAATTATTTGATCTCATTTATTTAGAAATATATTACTTGAGGTTTTGATGTCAAGCATATCATATATGTTTTTATATATATTAAATGGAATGTTCTTTGGAAATTAAAATATTTTTACATTCAACATTGCATTCTTAAAAATGAGTTCATAAAATTTAATCTCACTTATTGAAAAGAATTATTATTTTATTCATAGAAACATACATTTTCAACTATGAATTTTTTTAACTAAACCGCGTAATAGGATAGAAGATGATTTTGTAACAAATTATTTGATCTCATTTATTTAGAAATATATTACTTGAGGTTTTGATGTCAAGCATATCATATATGTTTTTATATATATTAAATGGAATGTTCTTTGGAAATTAAAATATTTTTACATTCAACATTACATTCTTAAAAATGAGTTCATAAAATTTAATCTCACTTATTGAAAAGAATTATTATTTTATTCATAGAAACATACATTTTCAAATATGAATTTTTTTAAACTAAACCGCGTGATAGGATAGAAAATGATTTTGTAACAAATTATTTGATCTCATTTATTTAGAAATATATTACTTTAGGTTTTGATGTCAAGCGTATCATATATGTTTTTATATATATTATAAAAAAGTGACGATCACAATATTTTCAAATAGCTAACTTTAATAGATGGAGACTTATAATATAGTTATTATTTTTGTCAAGTTAATGTAGACAAAAAATATGTTCAATTATAGTTTTGTACTCAATTATTATGTTGACAAAGAATGTCTGGTTAAAAGTAATATTATTCACTTTTGTATTGATAAAAATCGAAATTTATTTTCTTACAATAATTTTTTTAGTTACTTGTATTTTTTTCCCTCCCAAAGTTCGAATCCTGGATCCATCCCTGCAAATACCTGTTATATGGTGATACTTGACTATTGTTTCTTCATTTAAAACTTAGATGTTGTACTCAAACAAATATTTAATAAAGGTTTTTTTGATGAGATTATATGAGTTCGTTCACCAAGTATACTAGAGGTTCCTCAACACCTTAATGCAGCGGGGCAAAGCAACTTAATGCAGTGCAGTTGAGGCATGTAAGATGCACCAAGGCGAATGCTGGAGAGAGGCACACCTCTTTGAATTGTGCTTGATTTGTTGAAGATATGATTTGCAATCTAATGAAGCCCTCTTTGTCCTTTTATTTATTTATTTTATTATTGTTAGTTTTTAAATCTAATAAAGCCCATATTTTATGTGTTGGCACATTCTATCTATTTTATAAAATAACATAAAATAATAAATAAATAAAGAACCCTAGCCAACAAATTGAAGATATATTACAAGGCTTTTCTATTTGTTAAGCAACAATTTGTAGCCCAACTGTTTATTATTGGGAAAATATCATATAACCTCACGTGCACTCCATTGATTTGCAATAAGTTTCTTCATATGAGTTGATTTGTTAAAATATTAATTGCTTGATTGTATAATTGCCTAACTGTTTTTAATTGTTTAATGGCTTGGTTTAAATTTTTTTCATTTCAAATTATTGATGTGATCCGTGTTATTAAGTACAATGTACTGTACTGGGTGTTAATAATCGTATGTAAAAATACATGTCATTGATTAGGTTGGAGATATTGTTTATTGTTTTGTTCGATCTACGTTGTATTTCTTTAGTTGGTTCATTTCTTGTGGTGTCAATTTAAGGAAACTGGGACTCCGGCAGCTCACTCCCCCTCAACGTCCATGATACATAGGTAACTTTGTTTTTGCCTTTTGCAGGGATCATTAAGAAAACAAGAACTGTGACAGAATGCTTGCACCGCTATTGCAGGGAGTGCATTGACAAGTGGATGCGTATGGGGTATGTAACAAAACTACTCCAATATTATCATCATCTAAGAAGCATAGAGACTTCTAAGAGGATAACATGTCTTACAAGTTTAAATAAAATAACTTAGAATCTAATGATAAAACAAAATAATGTAAATTTATACTTGTTCTCCTTCTTTAGACTTTAAAAATTATTATCTTTGAGTTAAATATTCATGTATATGGCATATAATAATTATTTTTTCTTTTAAATATATAAAATTATATCCTTTGCACGTGTCCCATGCGTCGTGTCCTACATTTTTGTGGAAATTCTCGTCTTGGCGTGTCCATGTTGTGTTCATATCGTGTCATGTGTCTATGTCCGTGCTTCTTAGATTATCATTTGATTCAAGACACAATTGGACATATTGGCTTATAGTTAATTTAAATCCTACAACAATTTAGGGTGTGTTTGGTAACGTTAACGTTTTCAGTTTATATTTACAAAAATTTTATAAACTAGTTTTTGTTTATTTTTTGTTTATTTTTAGAAAAACATAAACTACAAATGCGTTTGGTAATTGACAAAATGTTTAAAAAAAAATTTAAAATATAAAAAAGAATGAGAAATGGCAAGTGTAAATATAAATAGAAAATTGAAAACATAAGTGTTACCAAACAACACCTTAGATTTCATCTCTTAGGTTGATAATTAACCTTATGTTACAGGAACAAAGAGTGTCCTGCTTGCCGCACACACTGTGCCAGTCAACATTCTTTGAGAGATGATCCACGATTTGATGCCCTGATTCACTTTTTATATGATGATATTGAGAAATATGAAGAGAAGGTAGAATTATATTCATGATGCGGTCTGGGTACTTTGCTATTCACATTTCATTGTGTAATGAGAGTTGTTAAGTCGTTTTCTGAATATCTGATTTCAGGAACTGGCTTTTCATGAAGAGGAAAAGACTCGCGATAAGCAGGTAAGATGTGAGGATAAGTGCTTTATATTAGCAAATGTGCATCTGCCATGCTTGCTTGTCTTTTTTTGCACCATTTGGATTTTGAGTACTGAGCAGCAGTCACTTATGAACTTGTGATGGTTCCTCATCTTAGATGCCGTAACCATCATGATGAGTTTGAATGTCTTCTTCCATATGCCACCCATCTTTGACCTTGTTTGTTTATCCAAATTTTAGATGATAAAAGTTTCTGTGACCATCGTCAAAGACATATGAGCTGCTAACTCCATGTTGTAAAATTCCATTTTCACACTCTAAAGGCAACTACTGTTGTAAAACAGGTGCTGCATCCACAGCACACCACATTTTAGATTGTAAATTGTCACTGTTTGAATTTTTCTCTAATCAACTTTGCTGCTAAATTAAGTACCTTGTTAGAGAGGCCATCCTAGCTTGTGGAACTTAGTAGGCAATTGTTTATTTATTTATTTTCAGGCATCAACATCTATGAAGCATGGACATCTCTCTGGAGGTCACATACCCGTGTCGGACACACTGGAGAGACTCGGACATGTTGGGACTAAGGCTGTGTAAAATACTGCTCAATCCGTTAAAACTGCACCGATCCATCTGCACCGATCCATCTGCTAGCAGCGGATTAAACTTATAATCAGCCTTCGAAACTATTTTGCTCCGCTATAATTAATACATATATATATTTTTAAATATAATGAAATAGCAAAGTAAAAATAAGTGCGAGAGATTTAAGATGTGAAACTTGTTGCAAATTACTAGTTATATATATATAAAGTATTATGTAAAGTTAGTTTGTGTTGTATATATGAAAAATATTATGCAAATTAGTGTTAATATTATGCATATGCTTGATAATTATTTAAGAATATGTTTCAATCATCTAGCAAATTGGAACTGTCTCAAATTGCGGTTTGGTTATTTGTCAATCCGCCATTCATATGTTGGTTTATAATTTTACTTTCAAACCGTCCGAACCACATCGAGTACGCCCCTAGCTAGGACACGCTACGGATTTGTTGCAGACACAATGGGGACACGCTAACGACATGCTAGGACCATTATAAAAATATGACATATAATAATAAATATATAAAGATATATGTTTTGCACGTGTACCCAACGTGTCATGTCCTGCATTTTTTTAAAAAAATATTATGTGTCGTATCACGTGTCCATATTTCTTTGATCAACATCATTGGTGTTTGAATTGTGAACTTTATTTATATTAATGGTTACATTGTCCTAGGCCTTGAGGGCCATCTGGTCATAGACTTAAATGGAATTAACGAGGCACTGCCGCCCTCTAGAGCATTTGAATGTGTCCATCACATCTGGGTTGTATATTTCTTTATTTCCACCAACTTTCAAAAATGAAAAAGTACAGTATGCTACTTCAATAAAATATTGACACGTTCTATATTTTCATTTTTGTTCCTGGGTCGTTACTTCAATATATTTTTGTACAGATTCAGGCATCAATTGCCCAGTTCTTTCGTTGATAATCTGAAGCACTGGTAACTAGGCGCAAAACAGGTAAAGATACGGAATCTACATCAGGTTCTAGATTACCACGCAAATATTCTAGAAAAAGAAGAAACACTAGGTTAACTGAGCATGAAGGATCTGATGACAATGAGGATGAAAATAATCATGATGCGAACAAAGATTCATCTTCGACTGATGAGCGGTCAACAGAAATTAAGCATAGGAGGTACAAGAGAAAGGCAGGAGCACAGTCCTCCCAGCCTTCTCCATCAGCTGCAAATTCAGATGGTGGAGGCAATGAGAAAGACTTAGAAGCAAGCAGAAAAAGCAAAGGTACCTACTCTGGGCCTCTGCGGAGCACAGACATGCTTTCTTGGGGCGGAGGCGGTGCTCAATGCAAGAGTGTCTGGAACACCCGCATAATGAAGCTGACTAAATATCTCGAAAACGCAAAGGGGAATGATGAGGTATGGCTGGATTGTTGAATCATTCGCTTTAGTTAGAGTTTAGGTTACCTGAGAGTGAACAGTACGTCATCCAGGAAGGTTTCTTCAATACTTCAGTTTTGATGCCATAACATCTTTGTGTAGTTCATGTGTTTCAATAACTTTGTGTAGATTATATTTGTGATTTCTGTTTGTGGCTTTACACTTGCAAATTTTCTTTTTATCTGCAGTTAGATGTCCATCTCACACTTATTTCTTTGGACGAACAAAGCACGGCAAGTTCGAAGCAGCTGTACCTCTGTTGCCCACATGCTTTTCTGTTGAAAGCCTCAAAGAAGTGAGTATTGTCTATCATCTTTCTCCATGACTTGGTAAATATGGAATATTGTTCCAGGATACTACTATTCAATTATGAGCATAAAAAAAAAATTCCTAAAATAATGGGGGATGACTTATTTTTTGCAATGGTTTTCTCAAGCTGGCTGGTGATGCACTCATCCCACCCTTATTTTAAACTATGCATTAACACAATCATAATATCACGCCATCATTTGCAAAGTAATGATTACACAGCTGGCTGAACCTTGACCCTAATCTTAATAAATCCTATGAAGCACGGACACCTCTCCGGAGGTCATGTACAAGTGTCGGACACGAACACATGCTGGACATGCTCCAGACCGGCATGGGGATGGAGACACATTAAAATTTTTTTACTAAATAGTATATCTAAAGGTTGATGAATTAAATATTTAACATAAAATAAATATAAAATATTTAAAAATACGACATATAATAAATATATAAAATTAAATCTTTTATACGTGTCCTCAAGTTGTCACTTCATGGATTTGTTTTTGGAAATTTGCGTGCCCGTGTCGTATCACCTGTTTGTGTCTGTAATTCTTAAAATAAAACTTTTTAAAATATATATATTTTTGCAGTTGTAAATTGTAATGCATGTCTAACTTTCTATTGCATGTGTGATGCTTATGTTATGCACAGCATGTTTCTCGTGAGACACAATTACAGTATGAAGATATTGAAATACGGATGAAGGACCTGAGTATCAATGGTCTGCAGTCCACCCTTGACCCTTAAACCTCAACGGAAAACAAAGATGTACTGCAAAATTTGGAAGGCCATGAAACTTTGGCAGGGCTGGGAGCCAATTGCGCTCAAGATAAGAACCATCTGGTGCGTATACATTCACATATATGGGTGTGTATATATATATATGGTTGTGTGCATAGTGTTTATCATCTACCAAGCATGGGTATTTTGATAAACATGCCATATCTGTACCCGTACTCGTACCCGTATTGGGTACTTACCGAGTACCGGTACTTTGTACAGTACTTCTGCATATGTACCGGGTATACAAAACACAAAACACATACTGAGTTTTTCCATCTTAATTTTTGTCGTATCCCAAACGTACCTAGTTTATACCTAAGCCATACCATATCTCAATTGAAACAATATTTTCTTCTAATACCTAGGTAAAATTAGTTTCATTTTAAATTATATGTATTTATTTTAATGCTTAGCATGATTTAAAAATTAAACTATCGTTTGTAAATTATTTAATACAATGACATTTGATTTTGATTTATATCTTTACAGTTTGGCATTAAATGTGAATTGTAGGTTGGATCTCAACAATTAGAGAGAAGCTTCTCTCGCAAACATAACACCCACAATTTTTCTGGGTAGTGAGTTGTGTGGAGGAGATTAAATTTAAGTATTATGGGGTTCATGTGTAGAATAATTCTGAATGACAAGATGATAATTCTAGGTAATTTTTTGGGTTGACAAGTTTGGGTTCGTAATATTATTCCAACAACTAGACCATTTAACTAATTTTTGCGTTACTTCAAATCAAAAATAAATATTTTTTGCAAACGCACCCAATCATACCCATACTATACTTCTTTTAGATTTTATCTATCAACTTACCCGTATCAGTACCCCTACCTATAGATGTACACGTGCTTCATAGTTCATCATCAAGAAAGAGATAACTCTTCTTCCTATTTAAAGATTTCAAGAAAGATATATACATGATGGGTTGGAAAAATCTTGTACCCTGACTAGGCTAGAGCTTCCCATTGTAATTAAATTAATTAATTAAAAATGTCATTTTCTATACATTTTATCATACTTACTCCATATTTGAGGAACTCCATTCCGCAAGATGTATTTTGCCCTAATTGCTTTCAAGAAGAAAATAAATCTCCTCAATATTTATTTCTGATTAAAACTAATTTTTTCCGTGGTGTTTCAGATTCTGGCGTATAGGCTGAAGGAGAGAGATTAGGAAGTTCATCACAAACATACTGCAGGACACAAGCTGAGGAATGGGCCATATCAGTCTGTTTGAGAAAAAAAGGTTGATTTAAATTATATGCAGGGTGGCAGTACATTACTGAGGGTCCTACTTCATAAATCTTTTCAGTAAATTATATTCTATGTTTTTCGAAGGAACATTTGGTGGTTAGTACAAGAGGAGATTAAGAGAAAGTTGTTAGATTGTATAGGGTGATGGTGTCTAGTGTGGTTATTGGTAGTTGTTGCAGGATTTTTATATATAAATATGCAATATGTTTTCATTTGTGTATTTTACTTTCTGATTGTTATTTTCCATGTCAGTATGTGTATTAGCCCCGCGGTTCCTCTCTTCCTATTCTGCATTTTTACTAAAGCAATTCATGAGCTCTTCCCTTTCTCTCCTCTTTTTTCTTCTGTTTTTTTTTTAAGGGCAAACTTCACTTTACTTTCATGTGATTTGAATCATGTGCGGTTTAGCCCTTAACGTTTGGAAATGACCATATAACCCTTATGTGGTTTGTGAACTAAAATGTACCATTAAACATTTTGTTTAATTTAACAGCAAGTGTAAAATCCATGACAGACATGAGATTTGTATACTCATTTTTAAATTTTAAGAGTGTAAATTGCATATATAATAAAGTATAAAAGTTAAAAGTGCATTTTGCCTCCCAAACAAATGACAAAAATATCTATAGTTAACACATTTAAGTTTATTTATATATAGGGATATTTTAGTCTTTTAATTAAATTATTAACGGATTTAACGGTGAACTTCAATTCACAAATTATATGAGGATTATGTGATAATTTTTAAACTTTAGGGGCATAAATCACACATAGCACAGACCACAAAGGATAAAATGAAGTTTGCCTCTTTTCTTTTTCTTTTTATTGGATTTTATTTTATCTCGTTTGAAAAATTTATAGGTGCACCACGTGGCATTACTCCACACTGATCAATTATCATTTTGATAAAACACCACTTAAAAATAATGGAAACACCAATCTGTTTCAAGATAAGCACCACATGAAAATATTTTGCATCCAACTTTCTCATGTGACGCGTAGAATCAACCAACAAAATAGGAGTGGAAAAATTTTGTATGTATTTTTCGGATGGTTATTCAATATTCTCGAAGTATGGGCATGTAGTACTCCATAAGATTTTGATTCTTAGAGAGGGGTAGAGATCCACAATTTATGTTGGGATGCAAAAACAACATGGGACTAAATAATTGGTGATTGGCTTAGAGTATGGTCACGTGATATTCTGAAAGCATTATATAATTTCCCGGTTGGGATATGGGAGGGAACGTGGGTGTGGGCGGATGTGGATGTATTTATTTTATTTTATTTTTATTTATTTATTTTTTATTATCTAATTACAGGTGACAAAAGTTAGGCCTCACTTAAATAGATAGTATAGATATTTTAATTTTATTGTACGTAAGTTGTTCATAATGATAATGATATGTTCTTAAAAGTGTACAAATCTTATTTTTTAAAACATATACAATTAAATATGCTACACAAAAATGATCAAATTAGTCTTCAAAACTGACAAAACGACATGGGTGGCAAGTAGAAGTCCAAGCCAGACTAGTACACTATTATAAGACCACAAATATGATTAAAGTCCACCCCTGTTTTGTAATTCTCTTCACTTGTTCCAAGTTGGTAGAGAGGCAATGACTGATCCCAATGAAGCTTCCTCCTATCGTCTGGTGAAGGCGACGAAGGCTCAACGCTAGCTAACAATGGGAGGGAGGAAGGTGGTTAATTCATTCTAAATTTCATTCTAAATCCTGCCCCCGCCGAAAAGTCCGAAACCCTGCTGTTTATTCTCCGAGGAACCATGGGCGGCTATGTTCCTCCTCTTGCTGCCGCCTCCAACACTGCTTCAGCAGTTGGCGTCACCAACCTTCTGCAAGGGCTGGTTCGTTGTTTTGTGTGTTCGAGGAGTGAATTTTCCTCACAGCCCACCATCACCTCCACCACCGGTTTTTAGCAGTCATGAGGTTGATTCAGATTTGCTAGCCCAGGCATTAGCGGTGACGATGGTGATAGTGGAGAAGAAACAGGTGGTGTCCAAGATACGGTAAGTGCGAGGAGAGAATGGCTATGCAGGATGTAGCTCACTAGGGGGAGGAGGCTGCATTTCAGAGGATGATGGCTTGGAAGACAATGCATGCAAGATGGGATTGTGTAACAACCTGATTAAATCAAATAGTCATAAGAGCACTATTATATTATCAAAAAATTTAACGGCTTTATATCATTGGGATCAGGATACATGAGAAGATATTATTTGTTTTAATTATGTCCTTAAATAACGATCTATGCATGGACAATTCTAATTTATATAAGGAGTACATGGTTAATATTATCCACACCAATCATCAAATAATTGTCTCAATGCAGTCACATCATTTTGTATACAAACTTGAAATATTTTTTCTACTTGTATATCACTTGCACGGATCTAGATCGTGTCTTTGAATAAAATGGAATGTCGAAAGTCACAAGTCACAGTGATTGCTAGAAACAACTATAGTTCCCATTTCATTAAACAACAAAAAATATTAGAAAAATCTTAGTTAAGTTTACAACAAAATCATTGGATGTAAAATACAAGTGGCAACTGCCAGTACAAAAAATTGTGATGAAAAGAATTCCAAGAGTTGATAAAACAATGAATTGACAATAATTTTTATGCCAAAAAAAAAACAATTTGCATTAAGATACACTTGCGTCGATCCAAATTATCAGCTTACCTCACTCAATTTGATTGCTTTCTGGCTCATATGATGCCATGGTGGCTCGGGTGAAGCCAAGAATGATGATGATGATGATGATGATGATGATGATGATGAAGAATAGGTCGATGTCCATGATGATGAGCTGTAGAATGTGCAGAGATGGTTTGAGATTCTTTTGGTTTTTGCTTCATGGCTTCGATCCGTTCAAAGATATCTACAACTTCTTTCATGGGGGGAAGTTTTCTAGGTTCTGATTCCAGGCACTGTAGAGTGAGTTGACAGCAATCGATGCTGCCTTTGAAGAATATTGCCCTTCTATCTGCACATCCATGATTGATTTCAGCTTCCTTTAGTTGGAGAGAAAGGGCTTTGCCCAATCAATGACCTGAGGCATTTGGAATCAAGTGCCCGCAAACCTGTCAGCATTTCCAGCAGCACAACACAGAAACCATACAAGTTGCTCTTCACGTATAAATGACCTGTTGAAAATTTGAACTAATTCATTTTAACACAAGGGATGGGTTTTTTTTTTATTTTTCAATCTAGATCTTATGAACTATCGACCAAATAAAAAAGAATAGGTCGATGTCCATGATGATGAGCTGTAGAATGTGCAGAGATGGTTTGAGATTCTTTTGGTTTTTGCTTCATGGTTTCGATCCGTTCAAAGATAGAATATTGCCCTTCTATCTGCACATCCATAATTGATTTCAGCTTCCTTTAGTTGGAGAGAAAGGGCTTTGCCCAATCAATGACCTGAGGCATTTGGAATCAAGTGCCCGCAAACCTGTCAGCATTTCCAGCAGCACAACACAGAAACCATACAAGTTGCTCTTCACGTATAAATGACCTGTTGAAAATTTGAACTAATTCATTTTACCACAAGGGATGGGTTTTTTTTTTATTTTTCAATCTAGATCTTATGAACTATCGACCAAATAAAACATATAAGCAGGAACCTTTGCCTCTCATGCACTTGCTCATAGATGTCTTTTGGGAATCATTTCTATGGTTCAATGCTCTAAACATTTTAACAAAAAAGGATTCATATTTACCTGTTGCAACGTATTCTGGAGCAACATAACTTGTGTTGTCACATGCAATTCTTCACCTGAGGGCCCCAATTTCGCCAAGTCAAAATCTGAGATTTTTGCATTCTGTAAAAAGAAAACAAAACACACAAAAGCTTTCAGAATAATTGTTTTCCATGTTTCCCCATTTTATCTTAGGTCATGTCTGTTTCAATGGAAAATGCAAAGGATGAATCTCATTACATGAATGCCGTTAAAGGAAATATCTATCTACATGATTGTGATGATACGTCACTTGTTTTGTTGAATGATTTAAAAAGATGAAATGGCAGTCCCCGTATTCTAGAAAAGTGCTCAAGTCACTCTCTTAAGTCTCAAGAACTTAGACCTTGTCATTAAGAAAACACAAATAACAACCACTGGCCAGAATTCGTGACTCGTTCCTCACTAGGAGGTCATGAGTTTGACTTCCCTCCCCCTAACTGATACAATTTTTTGTATTAAAAAAAAAAATGATACAAAATTTTGCAACATTTTCTCAATTTTAATCTCAAAACCCAGGTTCAAGCCCCATGATCCCCTTCCCCTCCCTTTCCCCCGACCCACAAAAAATGTACTCAACTCTTTTCTTACGTTCGCTTGTCAATCAAACAGAGGACATGCATTCCATTCCAAGATAGCCACCATATTCCAATTACCTTTTCCTACTTATTCTTATTGTCAGTGCCTTTTCAGAACACTAGTATAAAATCTAACTCATTAACTTACGAGGCACGATCATATAAATTCTCACCCCATCAAGCAGTATATTAGATGCTTTGAAGTCCCTGTAAATGACTTTCTTGTCTGATGTGTGCAAGAAAGCAAGGCCCCGTGCTGCACCAACGGCTATTTTGAGCCGTATGTCCCAAGAAAGCGGCTTGACAGCAGAACTCCCTGCACAACCAAAAAAATATGAGATAAATCAGTGTCATTCAGTTTTCTTCACTTAGCCTCAATTATAAGTAGAATTATGAAGCTTGTAAAGCATTTGTTAAAGGAATGAAGTTCTGACCTGTTTCGGCGTGCCAAGTAAAGAATCTTGGAAGTTGCTTTATTTTGTAGAAATTGCCCAATCAACTTTATTGCCATCATAGTATTTTTTGTGCACTTATATAATGATTACATTACCATTCCACCTTAGGACAATACGGAAACGGAAGATCAATTCATTTAAAATTTCATGATGTGTAGTTGTGCATTGAAATGGTCTAGCACAAGTCCTCTTTTGTAGGCCTAGCTCTCAATGCTCCAACTCTGTTCATTTTGCTAAATATTAGGTTTGAAATTGATTAAAATATATCAACATGATGAATGAAAATTTAAATCCTCATCAAGAGCATGCTACGGACAAACTTACCAAAAAAGAAAGTGTATGCAATGGGTAAAATATCTTTTTTTATTATTATTATTTCTTCAGAGAACTCCAGCCGACCAACCGCATCATCCAGTATTAAAGTGTTTTATTTCATTTTACCAAAATAACCTTACGTATTAATAAGTTCTGGTTTTTCATAAGGGTAATTTTGGTAATTTAAACACGTTTCATTAAATCCAATTCTTTTCTCACCAAATCTCACCACTTTTGGTGAGAAACAAAATACAGGTTTGGTGAGAGTCCATTTCTCACCATCTCTCATCATTTTTCACCTTACTTAACCATCCAAACAAGTGAAGGATTTCCAATTCTCACCATTTCTTTTCTTTTCTCACCAAGCCCCTCCATCCAAACAGAGCGTTAAGCTTACAACGTAGTAAATCTTATATATGTCTTTCATTTCTTTGTAATTCAATGAGTTTGCATTTAAGAGGGAGACAGAATAACTGCTTATAAAAGAGATTCCATCAAAAACTTCAAGAATTCAGCAGCAATAAAACAAAGGTATACAAGTCCCAGAAAGTACTTGCATTTTCAAAACAAAATCAGGGGCTAGGAAAAGAAAAGGGTTCAACAATTATGATAAGATGATGATGATGATATGGTGCTATAACTTTTCTGAAAAGTACTCCGTCATTAGTTTCTATGAGTTAAGTGTAACATCACAAATGTAAAAAACTTGAAAAAAGATGAAAATGTAAAACAGAAAATGAAACCAAGTTAAAGCGAAAAGTAAAAAAGCAAAAATGTGGGATAAAATTAAAGAAATTAGGACTGTATAAAAGTCATTATTGTTTTAGAAATGCATCACGAATGATAAAGACAAAGATGCAATATGAAAGGAGAACTATAGTTGGCCAATCAAAAGCAGTCGAAATCATACTGGACAGAACTTACATATAGACAACCTTTTACTACAGCATGGCGGCAAAAGGCCTGAGGCAGTTCCCCTTGACCATAAATAGGGTAAATCAAAGGCCCAAGTGCAATAGAAAACCTGACAAGGATGAGGAGAGCAATAATTAAGATTATCAGAGATTATTAAAACTCTTTGTTAGAGGCAAAAAAAGGACAAGATTGAGAGGAGAGGGAGAGAGAATAAATGTGGAGTCATCCATCAAGAATGGTTCACATGATGACCTCATTACAGCCTCACAGTCTCCGGAAAGAATTCTTCATCTGGAAACATCATGTAAAATAGCTGCCACACAGCAAAAGCACCAAATCCCAATTAAAAATTCCCCACATAATTTATATATATAAGAGCATAACAAATTTCATGGGATTGAGCAGAAATAAAGAAGCATGTGTGGTGAAAAAGAAAAATGAAAATCCTTTTCAAAAATTATGCAAAGTTGGAAAGACAATACCTTCTTAGTTGCATCTAGAAGATCATTGTAGTTTAGATTCCCATCTGGCATAGGGGTAGAGAAAATGGAACCAAATGAACACTGGAATCAACAAAGGCAACTATCAAAATGCCATTCTCAAGGTCAAAGATGTCAAACCAAAGACTTACATACATAACACACCTTCCTCAGTTCAATATTTCAGATTGTAAGAAAATATGGTAATAATAGAAAGGTCCATGTGCACCACATGTGAACTTTAACTCACCCTATCATATCTTTTTCTATTCACTTTCCGTAACCATCCCCATTCACTCTCCTACCATATCCTGCTCCTCACAAGGTATCCAACTGTCTCCCAAAAATAAATTATTGAAATTCTCATTGTACCTCCAAGTGAAGAAAATTGTTTTAAGTAACCATTGCACAAAAAACTTGAGGAGGGGACTACAGAATGGTATTAAGACTAATTGAGTTTTACTGAATAGATATATTCTTGTGCCTTTTCTATATCCAATTTTCATACTAATCCTTCCTCATTACTCCTTAACCTAAAACATAGACTCCTAAATACCCAAGGATCTGCCTGTCCCCCAAAAAGCGTTCCGGAACTCAATTACAATTGCTAGACAGTAATCTTGGACTATTACAACTATCAGAATAAAACCACTTCCTGCTGGGCTAATTGACCAGAGTGCACAGGCAACTAGAAGACCTGACATGCTTGTGGCAGCACAATAAAACCTCCAATTCTCAAATAAAAGACTCAAATACATAGCACCCCCAAAAATCAACAAACAGCAGGAAAAGGAAAGGGACAAAGGATAAAAACTATGATGAGAAACAACCGTAGCCATTTCCTGTATATATAGAGCACTCCAAAGTAAAGTGGGCTTCACGTCTGCATTCTCACTTTCATCTGTGTTACTATTTTCAGGTGTTCCAGAAATAGGAACTGAAAAAATAGCATTTACAGCAGCATGCAGTGATTTTTTCCCTTGAATGGCATCACCACACAAAGTTGAAAGATACAAAACATATCTGAACCAAAAAAAAAAAAAGGAACAGTATAAATCAACTGATGCAAATTCTTCCCAACATATATCAACAATTAGCAACATACTTGCAACAAATCCAAAAGCCAATAATCATAACTCCATATTACAATAACAGTGAATATTTTCATTCACTGACTAAAACTTGAAACAAAAATATAAAACTTTAACAGTGCGAGTTCAAAAAATACGAACTTAAATAACTTGCTTGGGGAGCCACCAAAGGGTCAGTCAACGTATGGGGCATACCTTATTGCTATATGATCAACAAACATTCTATCAATAGATACTACCCTATTTAATCGTTAATTGATGGCAAATGCAGCCACCACTAAAAGTATATAAAGGCGCGGACCGGATGGTTCTAGGGCACGAGACTTGATTTAGCATATGCTGGATGACGAGGGACCTACTTGGGATATTTGATTCAGTGTTTTAAAAAGCTCTAGGCGCATCGAGGCGCCAAGGTCACCTGGAGCCTAAGCGCCGAGGCGCGAGGTGAGGCGCAAGTTATACAAGTTAAACAAAATATCAATATGGCACAATTTTCAACATAAGCAAATATTTAATATGTATATGATTAATTTTTTTAATAAGACGAAAGGAGAAGAAGAAAAAAAAAATTAATTTTTTTGATATATATATTATTTTATTTATTTATTATATTTTTTAAATAATGTTTTTTAATTAATTTTTTTATTTTATTTTATTTTACATACATGTGTTTATTTTTTTTATTACTATGTATAAGTATATATTATATTTTATATATTATATATTATCTATATTATATATTATATAATAGGTATTATATATAATAGGTATTATCTATATTATATTAAAGGTATTTTATATATTATCTATAAGTACATTATATAATAGGTATTACATAATATTATATATATATGAATCAAGAAAAGTGAGAGAGACAGAAGCGAGAGAGAGAGAGAGAGATCGCAATCGAGAGAGACAGCCATCCTGAGCAAGACAAAAACAAGAGAGAAGACAACGAAAGAAGAGAGGAGAAGAGAAGACGAAGCAGAAGAAGAAGAGAAGAGAAAAGAAGAAGAAATGAAAGAGATGAACCTGAAGACAACGTCAATGTCGAAGCTCAAATTTTGGTCGCAACAGATTTAGGGCTTCGTCAAATTCGAAAAAGCTCACCAAGAGATTTGTATTGTATAAGAGTTTTAATCCTATGTGGCTGGTACACAAACACAAAACAGGTCAGTCCTAGCCGAAGCGCACGAAGCGTGAGCTTTGAGCCTAGGCGAAAGGTGCACGCCTCAACGCCTTCCGTGCGCTTCTCGCAATGCGCCTCGCTTCGTCTACTTCGAGCGCCAACCCTGCGCCTCGCCTCGCTTAGCGCCTAGGCGCGCTTTTTAAAACACTGATGAACATATATGGCTTTGTGGGCCTCCTAGTTAAAAGAAGCAACATTTAGAGATATTTAACCACATGTTTTTATTCAATGTATGCAACCATTAATAGGTTCATTTCATTACAACAAATTCATTCCGCCTATACCTCTAGGAAATAAGAATAGACTTCTGCACTAAACACATGCTTTATGAAGTCTATAAATAGATGTAACTTCAAGAATTTGAAGCATGACAAATGAATGAGAATACAAAATTTCCAAGTAGCTTTCAAGCTAGTTGTGTGATACAATCTTATTCTTTGGTGTGATAGTAAAAGAGGTCCTAAGTGTGATCCCTACGGTAATCTTGGCGCGAGGCCTAGTTCCTCTTAGTACATAAAAGTTAAAATGATCTTTTTTTCTTTTGGGGGTAGACAGAGAGGACACTCCCTAGTTCCTTATTTGAGAAATCTCCCCTAAAACAACAAACTTAGGAAAATATCAATAAACCCTATGAAGCACAGACACCGACATGGGACACGACAAGGACACGACACCGACATACAAAAACGCAAATTTTCAAAAAATAGAGGACACGACACGCTGGGCACACGTTCAATATATATAATTAATTTTATTTATTATATGTCATAAAATTATTTTAAAAAATCAAATAATAGAAAATATTAAAATCAGAATAAAAAAAATTAATAGAAAAGATACATTATTAAAATTAATAAAATTAATAAACATACATTATTAAAATTATACACTCAAATAATAGAAAAGAAAAAATAAAATTTGAATATAAAAAAATAAAAGAAAAGAAAAAATTAAATTAAAATCAGAATAAAAGAAAAAAAAATAAAAGAAAAGAAAAAATTAAAATCAGAATAAAAGAAAAAAATAAAATCAGAAGAAGGCCGAGAGAAAAAAAAATAAAATCAGAAGAAGGGCAAAGAATGAAGATCAACTGAGGAAAGAAGAGGCTCTGAGAGAGAGAGAGAGAGAGAGAGCGACTGAGGGAAATCGAAGAGCGACGATCGCAGATCGAAGAGAGACGAAGAAGAAGAGGTGCACCTTAACGACGAAGGGCGAGACACAACTGACGACCAACAAGGAGCGACGACCAATGAGGAGAGAAGACGAACGACGAACGACGAACGACGAACGACGAACGACGAAGTCAGGTCCTCTCTTTCTCACCCTTTCTCTGCTATTTCTCTTCTATTCAAAGTAGATTAGGGCACATTTTGATCCGTTTTTGTTTATTTACAAATCGACCCCAAAAAAATTTAGTAAATTGTGAAATTGCCCCCGAACGTGTCCCAAACGTGTTTATAACGTGTCCTGAACGTGCCCGGATGTAAAAAAATAAAAAATAAAAATGGGACACTCTCTGCTGCATGTCGGACACGTGTCCACAGCGTGTCCGACGCGTGTCCGTGTCCGACACGTGTCTGACACTGGTACGGAGCCCTCGGAGAGGTGTCCGTGCTTCATAAAAATGCAGGTCCCTATTAGCATAAAACAATTAGGAAGTGTTTTTAGGTACAAAAAGCAAAGAAGATCCTATTCAAATTCCATTTTGCTATGCAATTCTTATTGAAGAATTAGGACAGATTTAAGCTGGCAGTCAATCAGACACGCCTGCAATCCAAATCAACTCAAAAGCATACAAATTTTTTGTGCACTTATGTATTGATTACATTACCATTCCACCTTAGGACAATATGGAAACGGAAGATCAATTCATTTAAAAATTTCATGCGATGTATAGTTGTGCATTGAAATGGTCTAGCATAAGTCCTCTTTTGTAGGCCTAGCTCTCAATGCTCCTACTCTGTTCATTTCGCTAAATATTAGGTTCAGCATAATTGTCAAAATTTTGAAATTGATTAAAATATATCAGCATGATGAATGAAAATTCAAATCCTCATCAAGAGCATAACTTACCAAAAAAGAAAGTGTTTGCAATGCAATGGGTAAAATATCTTTTTTTTATTATTATTATTTCTTCAGAGAACTCCAGCCGACCGACCGCATCATCCAGTTTAAGGCCTCATGAATAAACTTTCGCTACACGCAATCACCCGCAAACTAGAGTTAAGCCCAAGTGTTTTGCGCCCCGTGAGAATCGAACATGAAAAACCTCTGGAAATGACCCTGTAGTGGAGCTCCCATATGCAAGATTGGTGTGCTATTTAAGTTAAAAGAAGCGTTAAAAATAAGATGTGCCATCCAGTTGAAAACAGGTTGAGCATCTCAACTGTGTACACGTCAGAAAACAGACCCCTTATTGATCTTCTCTCTCTTCGAAAAGAAAAATAATCCCAAAAACGCAAATTTTCAAAAAATAGAAGATACGACACGCTGGGCACACGTTCAATATATATAATTAATTTTATTTATTATATGTCATAAAATTATTTTAAAAAATCAAATAATAGAAAATATTAAAATCAGAATAAAAAAAATTAATAGAAAAGATACATTATTAAAATTAATTAAATAAATAAACATACATTATTAAAATTATACACTCAAATAATAGAAAAGAAAAAATAAAATTTGAATATAAAAAAAAATAAAAGAAAAGAAAAAATTAAATTAAAATCAGAATAAAAGAAAAAAAGAAAAAAAAGAAAAGAAAAGAAAAAATTAAAATCAGAATAAAAGAAAAAAATAAAATCAGAAGAAGGGCGAGAGAAAAAAAAATAAAATCAGAAAAAGGGCGAAGAATGCAGATTGACTGAGGAAAGAAGAGGCTCTGAGAGAGAGAGAGAGAGAGAGAGCGACTAAGGGAAATCGAAGAGCGACGATTGCAGATCGAAGAGAGACGAAGAAGAAGAGGTGCACCTTAACAACGAAGGGTGAGACACAACTGACGACCGAGGAGCGATGACCAACAAGGAGCGACGACCAACGAGGAGAGAAGACGAACGACGAACGACGAAGTCAGGTCCTCTCTTTCTCACCCTTTCTCTGCTGTTTCTCTTCTATTCGAAGTAGATTCGAAGTAGATTAGGGCACATTTTGATCTGTTTTTGTTTATTTACAAATCGACCCCAAAAAAATTTAGTAAATTGTGAAATTGCCCCCGAACGTGTCCCAAACGTGTTTATAACGTGTCCTGAACGTGCCCGGATGTAAAAAAAATTTTTAAAAAAATGGGACACTCTCTGCTGCGTGTCGGACACGTGTCCACCGCGTGTCCGACGCGTGTCCGTGTCCGACACTGGTACGGAGCCCTCGGAGAGGTGTCCGTGCTTCATAAAAATGCAGGTCCCTATTAGCATAAAACAATTAGGAAGTGTTTTTAGGTACAAAAAGCAAAGAAGATCCTATTCAAATTCCATTTTGCTATGCAATTCTTATTGAAGAAATAGGACAGATTTAAGCTGGCAGTCAATCAGACACTCCTGCAATCCAAATCAACTCAAAAGCATACAAATTTTTTGTGCACTTATGTATTGATTACATTACCATTCCACCTTAGGACAATATGGAAACGGAAGATCAATTCATTTAAAAATTTCATGCGATGTATAGTTGTGCATTGAAATGGTCTAGCATAAGTCCTCTTTTGTAGGCCTAGCTCTCAATGCTCCTACTCTGTTCATTTCGCTAAATATTAGGTTCAGCATAATTGTCAAAATTTTGAAATTGATTAAAATATATCAGCATGATGAATGAAAATTCAAATCCTCATCAAGAGCATAACTTACCAAAAAAGAAAGTGTTTGCAATGCAATGGGTAAAATATCTTTTTTTTATTATTATTATTTCTTCAGAGAACTCCAGCCGACCGACCGCATCATCCAGTTTAAGGCCTCATGAATAAACTTTCGCTACACGCAATCACCCGCAAACTAGAGTTAAGCCCAAGTGTTTTGCGCCCCGTGGGAATCGAACATGAAACCTCTGGAAATGACCCTGTAGTGGAGCTCCCATATGCAAGATTGGTGTGCTATTTAAGTTAAAAGAAGCATTAAAAATAAGATGTACCATCCAGTTGAAAACAGGTTGAGCATCTGAACTGTGTACACATCAGAAAACAGACCCCTTATTGATCTTCTCTCTCTTCGAAAAGAAAAATAATCCAATATGCAGCCCATTATGAAAGCAAGATGGTAGAAGAACAGCTCACGGCTAATAATAGGTTCTTTTACTTACCTTTATCCAATTACAGAATTGGATTGGCAGGCATGATCCAACCAAAACCTGTACCTATATTTCTAATCAGACTTGCACACCTAGATATTTTTTAGATGTATATAACATCTCATCTCTCAAGAACATTCTTAGGTTTGACAAGAAAATTTAACTATATTTGAAAATTGCACCTTCATAAACAGAACTTCAAAATAATTGCCCCCAATTTTGATACACTCCTATTACATCCCAATTCACAGACAAACTCACCGTTAACAAATTGGAGATGCTAGATCGAACGTGTTAGCAGCTGATATTGTACAGTAAATTGGGCCATTACTGAGAGACAACAGGCTAATCAAAATATTTTTTCAGTCATGATGGCATGACCAATCTAATTCAAAACAAGTACAGGGTTATCAAGGGCCAAAAAAAATTATTAATTTATTTATTTAGTGTGTTCTTGTTGGTATAATAAGCCCAAGCACAATTACAAACTAAACGAAAGATCAGGTTCAGTACAAGGTACACAACACAGAATTTGAATAACAACGCATATAATAACACATTCCATTGATAAAAACAAAAAAAATACCTGCAACAGAAAATAACAAGAGCTATGAAAGGAAGAAATAAACATCTAATTCAAAAAACAAGTGAAAGAGAGAAAGGAAAATAGTAACTTACATGCCAGAAGGACATACAGCTAAACTGCTACCTATCTGGAGAACTCTGATTGACGCAACCTGCTCAGGGTACAAAGCTGGAGAGAAAGAGTAGTCAATAGTATGTTGTATTTCACTCATACAAATTTACAATAGTAATTGGTGCATTGAACTCACATTTAGGAGGATATACCGCAAGAAAAGTTGAAACATCTGGCTTTAAGGAACTCTTTGTTATGCATATTCCCCTAGCCACCTTACCCCTAAAATCTTGTAGGCCAAAATCTTTTAATTTAGCTTGCAAGATATCTGGGGAAGATTTAAGTAATGGTGATGGAACAATAAATGATGGACCCAAGACTATCCGATGGCTGAATAATTCCTGACCAGAACCCACCTTAACACCTTTGTAACTCCCACTATCCTACAAAATTTTCACAAGAACATAACAAGGGAATCCATTTCACTTTAAAAATACTAAAGCTCAATTTACGACAATCGTCATTACAAAAAATGAACACCAAGCAAAAGTATATATCCAAACCTTGTCCATTAGTAGAGCATTTACTGGCATTCGAAGAACCTACACAACAGAATTTTTAAATTTAAACAACAATTGTAGCTGGTTAAAGCAAATACAACATTTCCATATCAAATGAATATTAATTTAATCCAATCAGCAAAAACTGTATTAAAAATCAGAGAAGCCACAAGTAAAATGCAATATCAGTAGTAGTGCTCCATACTAAGGCCTCATTTGGGAACCCTCTTTTTTAGCCAAAAAGTCAAAAAGTTACTAAATTAGCCAAAAAGCCAACAACCCATACCAAAAAGTCAAAGATTCTCTTTTCTCTCTAAAAAGTCATCCCAAACATACTAGTTTTTTTAGCTCATATTTTAACCAAATAGCCAAAAAGTTACTAAATTAGCATGTTCCCAAACGAGGCCTAAGCATGAAACAACAAATGAAATTAAAAACAATTACCATTTTTTGAGGAAAAAAAAAAATTACTATTTGCTGGAATACATCACAATCACCGATACTTTCAGCATTCATATCTGGCACAAAAGTAAGTGCGAGATGAATGAATGAGAACATGACGAGCAATATGGTTCAAGAAATTCACATCATGCAGTCTTAACACGAAATATTGAAGTATAGTGTTAGAAACTGACTACACCCTATGAAGCACGGATACTCCAAAATAACCCCCGTACGTGTGTCGGATACGTATCGGATATGGATACGCGTCCGATACGGCGGGATACGTATCAGATACGGCAAAGAAGTACCTATATTTTTTTTTAATTTTTTGAATTTCCGATACGTTTGTGATACACAAGGATACTTCAAGATACGTTCGGGATACGGCGGGGTGAAAAAATAATTTCAAGAACTTCTAATGGGGTTAAACTGTAAAATAACAAAATAATGTAAAATAAAACCAAAAAAAATCAACCAACCTCCAAGCCCTAGGTTCACAAACAGCAGCAGCAAGAGAAGTCGTCGTCGTCTCTATCGCAAGGAAGGTTCGCGAACAGCAGGCAGCAGCAAGGAGGACGAGGAGTCATCGTTGATCAATTTTGTCCTCTCTCCCTCTCCCTTCCGTTTCCTCTCTCTCTCGTCCTCGCTCGATCTCTTGGTCTCTCTCTCTCTCCCTCTCGCTCGATCTCTCTATCCCTCTCTTGCTCGATCTCTCAATCCCTCTCGCTCGATCTCACTCAGTCCCTCTTGTTCGATCTCACTGTTTCTCTCTCTCCCAATTCCTATTTTGATTTTTATTTTATTTTATTTTTTGTTTTTCTTATGTTTTGAGATATTAGGATAATAGTTCTGGCTTTTTTTTCTTTTTTCTTTTTTTTAACTCTTTTTTATTTAAAATTTAAATTTTCAGAATTTATGTTATTAGGTGAATTTTGACTCTTTTTGTAAAAAAATTTAAATTTTCATAATTTGTGTTATTAGGTGAATTTTGACTCTTTTTGTAAAAAAATTTAAATTTTCATAATTTGTGTTATTAGGTGAATTTTGACTCTTTTTGTAAAAAAATTTAAATTTTCATAATTTGTGTTATTAGGTGAATTTTGACTCTTTTTGTAAAAAAATTTAAATTTTCATAATTTGTGTTATTAGGTGAATTTTGACTCTTTTTGTAAAAAAATTTAAATTTTCATAATTTGTGTTATTAGGTGAATTTTGACTCTTTTTGTAAAAAAATTTAAATTTTCATAATTTGTGTTATTAGGTGAATTTTGACTCTTTTTGTAAAAAAATTTAAATTTTCATAATTTGTGTTATTAGGTGAATTTTGACTCTTTTTGTAAAAAAATTTAAATTTTCATAATTTGTGTTATTAGGTGAATTTTGACTCTTTTTGTAAAAAAATTTAAATTTTCATAATTTGTGTTATTAGGTGAATTTTGACTCTTTTTGTAAAAAAATTTAAATTTTCATAATTTGTGTTATTAGGTGAATTTTGACTCTTTTTGTAAAAAAATTTAAATTTTCATAATTTGTGTTATTAGGTGAATTTTGACTCTTTTTGTAAAAAAATTTAAATTTTCATAATTTGTGTTATTAGGTGAATTTTGACTCTTTTTGTAAAAAAATTTAAATTTTCATAATTTGTGTTATTAGGTGAATTTTGACTCTTTTTGTAAAAAAATTTAAATTTTCATAATTTGTGTTATTAGGTGAATTTTGACTCTTTTTGTAAAAAAATTTAAATTTTCATAATTTGTGTTATTAGGTGAATTTTGACTCTTCTTTTTTTATTTTTTATTTTTATACATGCTATATTATTAAAAATTATAAAAATAATATTTTTTTATGGTTCAAGAAATTCACATCATGCAGTCTTAACACGAAATATTGAAGTATAGTGTTAGAAACTGACTACACCCTATGAAGCACGGATACTCCAAAATAACCCCCATACGCGTGTCGGATACGTATCGTATACGGATACGCGTCCGATACGGCGGGATACGTATCAGATACGGCAAAGAAGTACCCATATTTTTTTAAAAATTTTTTAATTTCGGATACGTTTGTGATACGCAAGGATACTTCAAGATACGTTCAGGATACTTTCGGGATACGGCGGGGGGAAAAAATAATTTCAAAAACTTCTAATGGGGTTAAACTGTAAAATGACAAAATAATGTAAAATAAAACAAAAAAAAATCAACCAACCTCCAAGCCCTAGGTTCACGAACAGCAGCAGCAAGAGAAGGAGTCGTCGTCTCTATCGCAAGGAAGGTTCGCGAACAGCAGGCAGCAGCAAGGAGGACGAGGAGTCATCGTTGATCAATTTCGTCCTCTCCCTCTCCCTTCCGTTTCCTCTCTCTCTCCTCCTCGCTCGATCTCTTGGTCTCTCTCTCTCTCCCTCTCGCTCGATCTCTCTATCCCTCTCTTGCTCGATCTCTCAATCCCTCTCGCTCGATCTCACTCAGTCCTTCTTGTTCGATCTCACTCTCTCTCTCTCCCAATTCCTGTTTTGATTTTTATTTTATTTTATTTTTTGTTTTTCTTATGTTTTGAGATATTAGGATAATAGTTCTGACTTTTTTTTCTTTTTTCTTTTTTTTAACTCTTTTCTATTTAAAATTTAAATTTTTAGAATTTGTGTTATTAGGTGAATTTTGACTCCTTTAAAAAAAATTAAATTTTCAGAATTTGTGTTATTAGATGAATTTTGACTATTCTTTTTTTATTTTTTATTTTTATACATGCTATATTATTAAAAATTATAAAAATAATACTTTTTTACGAACGTATACCCACCGTACCCGTATCCTAGTTTTTCAAATTTTGTCGTATCGCCGTATCCGTATCGTATCGTACCCGTATCCCATATCAGTATCCGTGCTTCCTAGACTACACCTGGTACAATCGCAGAGAAAGGATTTAGGATATGTTCAACAGAAATTTCTATTGGAAGTTGCAAAGGGATTTTTTTTAATTTGATGATTTTGTTGTTAGGCACTGTTAAACTAAATATGAAAACAATTAATTGTTTGAGCTAACAGAAAGGGTTATCAGAGAGGCAAAGGCTCCAAAAAAGGGAACAACCCTACCTAGAAACTAGGGCTTTGCAGCAGATCGACCGGCCCGCCAAATCTGCCCAACCCAACCCGACCACTATTGGATGGATGCGTTGCACGTGGCGGGCCAATGCAGGCCCAGATTTCATGTTTTGCGGGTTCGGGGTGATCCGCCAATATACCCAGCAAACCTACCCTGACCATGACTGCCCCCCCTCTCTTTTTTTCTTATACATTTTTTTACGCCTTAACAAGAAATTGACATCATGCAGTCTTAACAGAAATACTGAAGTATAGTGTTAGAAACTGACTACACCTAGTACGATCGCAGAGAAGGGATTTAGGACATGTTTAACAGAAATTTCTATTGGAGGTTGCAAAGGGATATTTTTTAATTTAATGATTTTGTTGTTAGGCATTGTTAAACTAAATATGAAAACAATTAATTGCTTGAGCTAACAGAAAGGGTTATCAGAGCGGCAAACGCTCCAAAAAAGGGGAATAACCCTACCTAGAAACTAGGGCTGTGCAGCGAATCGACCGGCCCTTCAAATCCGCCCAACCCGACCCCACCACTATTGGGTGGATGCGTGGCACGTGGCAGGCGGATACTAGCCTAGATTTCATGTTTTGCGGGTTTGGGGTGATTTGCCAATATACCCAACAAACCTGACCCGACCATGACTGCCCCCCCTCTTTTTTTTATATATTTTTTTAAGCCTCAGCTCAGCCCTTTTCATTTTGAGATTGAGTTTACTTTACCCTAAATTTGTTCAACAAACACAAGACAACACACACAGACACACACACACACACACTCTCTCTCTCTCTCTTCCTCTCTCTCCCCCCAAACCCTACCCATTGTCCGACAGTCTACACTAAACGACCGACTGACGATCTACACTGAACAGTGAGCGATCTACACTAAACAGCATCAACGATCGATATACACTGAACGGCAATCGACACTGAGGTATTCTCTTCTCTTCCTCTCTTTTTCTCTTCTTTTCTCCTCTTCTCTTTTTCTCTTCTTCTTTCCTCTTCTTCTCTTCTTCTCTTCTTCTGACAAACAATGGTGTCTGTTTGAGGTCTCTGAGAAATTTAGAATACCTCACTTCAATTTTAGATTTATGAACTTATGTTTGAGGTCTCTACTAATTCTATACACTTTTATTTTTGGAATACCTCATTTTAATTGCTGGCGATTAATGGTTTTTGATGGTCTGATCTATGCTTTTTGCATGTGTTTTTTTAAGCTTGAATGATTGTTGAGGTCTTGTTTGAAATGGAACTGATTATGATCTGTAATTGAATATGAGAGAGAGGAGCTCTATGTATTAAAATGTGTTTTGTGACAATCAAGTGGGATCGTTTAAGGGTTTATGATTTTTTATTTTATTTTATGATGATGTTTGCAATTGGGTAACGTGGATCATTATGATAAAACAAGTAGTTGGAAAATTGTTTCCGAAAGTAGTGTGACATGATTCGGATAATATATACAATGATTTATTTATTTTTATCCATTTCATTTATTTTGTATTATTCAAAGTGCATTATCTTCACTTCACATGTTTTTGTTGTGTTATGTTTTATGTGTAGTTTTGGAATCAAGTTCGTGTTCAAGCCCAAGTACGGAGAGTAGTTTTATTGAAGTTTAATATCATTGGTAAAATACTTCCCATTTATTAAATGTTGTTAACATATATTTACTTCTTTTAAGTTTAAAACTTTTTTAATATTGTCTTTGTAAAATAATTTCAATTTTTTGCTATGCAGGTTTAGATGGCTCATGGTTTGGCTCAAGGAAATGAATGACTTTTTTGCTTCTTTTCGGATGAATGTAATACTATTGCTTTGATGCACAATGTTTGTTGAATGCACAATGTTTTGGATGACTGTAACTTTTTTTTCTTTTTTCTTTTTTTTTTTGAGAAAAGTAACTTGTTTTTTTGAACTTCGGATGACTGTAACTTGGATGCACAATGTTTTCCTTATGTTTTATGTGTAACTTAGATGACTAATGCCCACTGGATACACAATGTTTTGGGTGATATTGAATAATACCCACTGGAACCAATAAAAACCAATTGAATTACGCAGGTTGTTTTTGCATTGCGCAAGTTGTTTAAGAAATGCTAAGAGGAATATAGATGTGAATATTGCATTGCATGAGTTGCATTGCCCAGGTTGTTCACTTGCATTGCCCAGGTTATGCAGGTTTATTGAACCACTGGATGAATATAGATGTGAATATTGTATTACCCAGGTTGTTTTTTTAGGAAGTGCACACTTAAATTATGCCCACGTTTTTTTGAGGAAGTACACAATTGAATTATGTTGAAAATTTATAAACTTTTAAACCGCCAAACCGATTCGTATCCATCCGCCACCGCCGGATTGGCGGACGGACGCGGATTGATTTTCTCCAATCCACCAATCTGGCGCCATCCATAGATGTGAATATTGCATTGCATGAGTTACATTGCCCTAGTTGTTCACTTGCATTGCCCAGGTTATGCAAGTTTATTGAACCACTGGATGAACATAGATGTGAATATTACATTGCCCAAGTTGTTTTTTTAGGAAGTGCACACTTGAATTATGCCCATGTTGTTTTTTTGAGGAAGTGCACAATTGAATTATGTTGAAAATTTGTAAACTTTTAAACCGCCAAACCGATTCGTATCCATTCGCCAATCCGCTCAATCCGCATCCGCCGGATTGACAGATGGATGCATATTGATTTTCTCCAATCTGGCAGACGAATAGCGGATTGGAGGTTCCGTGGCCACAACTCATCCACGCCCACCCCTACTAGAAACTTCTTGTAATAACATTATCAAATAGCTCAAATCTTTTTCTAAATGAAATACTATAACCAAATTTCCCCTCATGAGAGAGACCGTGTTTCTAGGTTTTCCACTTCGTTTGGATCGTGAGGGGAGGTGAGAAAAGAAATGATTGTGGTTTCTCACGTAAATAAGTAAAGAAAAGAAATGATTAGACTTTCTCACTATTATGTTTGGATGAATAAAAGAGAAGAAAGTGGTTTCTCACCTATCTTGTTTGGATAGAGTAAGTAAGAGGAAGGAAAAGAAAGTGTTTTATTTCATTTTACCAAAATAACCTTCCGTATTAATAAGTTTTGTTTTTTCACAAGGGTAGTTTTGGTGTTTTAAACACGTTTCATTAAACCCAATTCTTTTCTCACCAAATCCCACCACTTTTGGTGAGAAACAAAATACAGGTTTGGTGAGAGTCCATTTCTCACCTTACTTAACCATCCAAACAAATGAAGGGTTCCCAATTCTCACCATTTCTTTTCTTTTCTCACGAAACCCCTCCATCCAAACAGTGTTAATCTTACAACGCAGTAAATCTTATATATGTCTTTCATTTCTTTGCAATTCAATGAGTTTGCATTTAAGAGGGAGACATAATAACTGCTTATAAAAGAGATTAAATCAACAACTCCAAGAATTCAGCAGCAATAAAACAAAGGTATACAAGTCCCAGCAAGTACTTGCATTTTCAAAACAAAATCAGGGGCTAGGAAAAGAAAAGGATTCAACAATTATGATAAGATGATGATGATGATATGGTGCTATAACTTTTCTGAAAAGTACTCTGTCAGTAGTTTCTATGAGTTAAGTGTAACATCACAAATGTAAAAAACTTGGAAAAAGATGAAAATGTAAAACAGAAAATGAAACAAAGTTAAAGCCAAATGTAAAAAAGCAAAAATGTTGGATAAAATTAAAGAAATTAAGACTGCACATAAGTCATTATTGTTTTAGAAGTGCATCACAAATGATAAAGACAAAGATGCAATATGAAAGGAGAGCAATAGTTGGCCAATCAAAAGCAGTTGAAACCAGACGGGACAAAACTTACATATAGACAACCTTTTACTGCAGCATGGCGGCAAAAGGCCTGAGGCAGTTCCCCTTGACCATAAATAGGGTAAATCAAAGGCCCAAGTGCATTAGAAAACCTGACAAGGATGAGGAGAGCAATAATTAAGATTATCAGAGATTATTATAACTCTTTGTTAGAGACAAAAAAAAAAAAAGGACGAGATTGGGAGGAGAGGGAGAGAGAGAATAAATGTGGAGTCGTCCATCAAGAATGGTTCACATGATGACCTCATTATAGCCTCACAGGTATAGGACATAGTCATAGAAAAGCACTAAACTTTTGTCATTATGCATCCAAGCTCATCAAACACTAATACTAAAAAGATGTAGCACTAGTAAGCTTTTTACTGCAGTATCTAGCCATTTTATAGAAGTATTGCTGATTTCACCTTTGAAAGATAACGCTTATATGGAAAAATCTGTGCTTTCAGTAGTCATTATTACATCATTTAATAATCATTAAATTACAAAAAATCACAAAATTACAATGTTCCAAAAGCTTGTTAAAAAGGACACTACAACTTCTTGTCCCCCAATATAGGGTGCTGGCATAGATGCTCCAGGTACTGACCTAACCTTTCGCATTATTTCCACAAAGTGGCTAACCTCATACTCAAATGCACATTCAGCTCCCAAGCTGTTAATTTTCCACCAAGCAATGGCCCATCTATGAAATTTTGTTGATGCAATTTTATTTTGTTTCTTTTGAAGGGGTAAAGGGATCCAAGCCACTTTTTATTTATTAAATAAATAGAATGTTCCCTGAATCTTATTAGTCTTTATAAACTTTTGTGGATTGTGGACAGAATAAAAGGAGATGAATGAAAAGTTGTGTGGTTACTCAGAAGGTCATATCTTAATGTACTCTTTATCATTTTTTTATCTTTATTCTACACATCTAGGGGCAAGTCTAGGGTCCTTCAATCATTTTTTAAGTCTGAAGTGCCACTCATCTTCTCCACGTTTTCCCATTAGTTTTTAAATTTGTGATTTTAATGACAAGGGGGCGGTTTAGAATTGGTTGAAGTTCTGGTAAAAGAAAAAAAAAAAAAAAAATCATCAAATTGTCTTCAACCTTTAGGTTCTCTATTTTCAAGAACATTACAACATTATCTTCATTTTCTTTCTTTAAAACAAATATATATATATATATACACTAAGTAGCACGGACACGGACACGATACGGACACGACACGGACACGCAATTTTTCAAAAAATGAGGGACACGACACGTTGGAGACACGTTTAATATATATAATTTTATTTATATATTATATGTAAAATTAAAAAATATATACTATTTGTATTTATTTTTATTTATTTATTTTATTTATTATATGCAAAATTAAAAAATATATACTAATTTTATTTATTATATGTAAAATTAAAAAATAAATATATTATTTGTATTTATTTATATTATTTAAGACCAAAAGAAAGGTTAGGGGTTATATTATTTATTTATTTATATTATTTATTATTAGTATATAATTTATTATTAGTATATAAATATATATATATATATATGTATATATATTGTTAGTATATAACGTATATAGCTATCGATGGTTGCGTCGAAAATTTTAGCGAGAGAGAGAGAGCAGAGAGGGTCAAACAATGCGCAGAGAGGGAGACGAGGTCAATGGTCAATCGATGGTCAAGCGAGGGCGATCGATGGTCGATCGAGGCGCAGAGAGGGAGGCGAGGAAGACGAACAGATTAGGGTTTCTTCTCTCTGTCCTCAATCTGTCTCTCTCTTCCCTCGACCTATCTCCCTCTCTCTCTCTTCCCGCGATCTGTCTCTGTCTCTAGCTCTCTCTCTTCCTCCTCTTCAACAGTTCTAGGGCTTCTTCGATCCACCCACCAGCGTGTCTGAATCGTGTCCTCGCGTGTCCAACCTCGTGTCCGACTCTGAAAAATTCTGAAAAAAGGGGGACACGCAGGGGAGTGTCGGACACGTGTCAACAGCGTGTCGTACGCGTGTCCGTGTCCGACACTAATACGCAAGCCTCAGGGACGTGTCCGTGCTTCATAGTATATATATCATTAGTTGTTCTACCATCATACACTTAAGATGCAGAACATTGTTAAAGTAATAGTGGTCATGGTTACAGAATAAATGTTTAACCATAAACAGAAAGAAGAACCTGCCAACGGATGAGTGGTAAAGTGCTAAACGATTTATTCCATCTTTCGTCTTCAGAAAATCTTTACAAACTTCCATGCTGTCTTGATCATAATCTGCCATTGCTATTGCATACAGAATAGTCCTACACGGAGAAAGGTTATTTAAGTTGCTCAATTCATAATACAAAGTACACCATATACAAGGACAAATGTGAAACAATAGAGGGAAAAAAATAACTTTAGCAAGGAATCCTTCCTAAATGACCATCTGAACATATGATTGCATTGAATAGGTATGAACTCCATTAGAAGAGAATATGTCTTCCACTAAAAAGCCAGCCATTGCATAGTTTAAATGGAAGCATCTATCAAAAAAAGCCCTAGCTTTTTCAAATTCTCTTCAAATCAAAGAAAATCTCCAAGCAAAGAGAAGACAAGGCTTGATGTAGATGTGTGGTACAGAGTTGTAACTGGCATTACTACCGCAAAAAGAACATCTAAATAATATCTTTTAAAAATGGCCATTGCATGGATGGAGAACCAATATCCCCCAAGTATATCGTTAACACAGTGCTTAGGTTAGTTGCACAAATGAAGAACCTCCCTATCCACCTATTAAGATATTAAATTAAAAAAAGATACATTATCATGTGAACAAAATCTTGAATCTCCCTTCATGCAGATATAATGTTAAAAAATATCATTAATTTTGCAAAGGAATAAGAAAGTTTACACTGTTGAAAAGTGAAGGCTCAATTTGGTTCCGGATAAATGAGGGAGAAAATAAAAGGAAATTGCTAATAAATGGCTACCTTTCTCAACATTTCCCTTTCCTTCGTTCTTTCCAAGATTCAGACACGGGATTTAATTTTCCTTTTTCTTCACAAACCAACTAACCAAAAGAGCCTATCAGACAATGGAACCGAGAAGAGACGGACAGTTATTAGTGGTGTTTGGGAACTTGGGTTTGGGATTTTTTTTTTTTTTTTTACTAAAAGACAAACTTTTTGTGAAATCAAAAAAAACACATTCAAACAAAATATCACATCTAATCCCATAATCATTTCACTTTTTCTATCACAAACACCACATCCAACCACAAAAAAACCCAACTATCTTCCCAAACATCAAAAAAAATTTATTCAATAATATCCTACAACTAAAAAAAAACTACATAAAAACCCACTTCCCAAACACCCACATTATATTTCTTCTCAAATCCATTTTCACTATGGAACCATTTGATTAACAAGATAGTGGTGGAAAATGTAGGGAAGAGAAGGGGGAAAAAAATCAAATTATTTTGGCTTCGAAACTTAGATTTTTGCTTCTTACCAAAAAAGAATTGAATTTTTTAACACAAAATTTTAATCAAAATAAATTTGCATTTCTTTAACTTGACTTTCTAGCATTTTCACTTTACATCACACCATTTTCTTTCTAATTGAAAGGGGCCCAAAGCCAAAAGCAACCCCCTCTATGCCAAATTAAAAAGTTTAACCCAGTAACCTGAAATTTGCAAAGTAATCACTAAACATACCATGTCAAGCATTCTTAGGAGAAAACAACACCAATATGCTTACTGAATTACTACTACTTATTGTATACTGAATTGTATGCATCCACTTGTATATATGTATTAATTTTCACATAACCAGAAATTTTATTTTTTACTTTTATTTTTTTTTTAAAAATCTTACTTTGACACAAATAACATAACAATGAAATAGAGCAATTAACAAGGGCATCGAAACAGAACAAGAACTCTCACTAACAAATAGAGAAAGGCGAAACAATACGTACGAGTTAATCTTTGGTGGCAATCGCAATTTGTTCAAGAAATCAACGAACGGACTCTCCAAATCCTCATCCGAAATCCTCCTACCACTATCATCACCACCATCAGAACCAACAACAGCAGCTTTCAAATGCCCATCAACAAGCTTAAAAAAAAATCCCCAACCTGGTCTTCTCAGCTAGGCCTAAACTCGTATCCGAAAATATCGCCGATCGCGAATCGGGCACACTCAACAACTTCCCATCGCCATCGCACACAAAGTTGGCATCAACACTCTTGAACTCCATGTAGTGACTCGCTCCCGATTTGAGCATGAGATCAACGGCCGAGTCGGCGCAGAAGAAAACCCTAGGGCCGGCCAAATCGAGGTTAAATGTTCTGGAATGTTGGAGGGGTTCGGGGGAGTGGGAGGAGATGTCGAGGTCGGAGTACATGGGGCTAGAGGAAAGATCGATGGCGATGTGATCCGCGGAGCAGGAGGAGGAGGAGGAGGAGGGAGGAGGTGAGTGGTGGGAGGATTGGGAATGGAGGAAGGAGGTGAGGTCGGAGAGAGGGAGAGAGGAGAAGTGGGAGCCGTAGAAGGAGTTGGGGTCAAGGTGGAGGACGGTTTTTCCAGCAGCGGAGGCGGCGGCGGCGAGGATGGATTCCGGGAGGCCGGTGCCGACGATTATGAGGTCGAAATTGGTGGGATCGATGGGTGGGTAGGACAAGGTGTCGTCCATTGCAGCAAAATAGGGTTTGGGGTTTGAGATCGCCGATGCTGGAGTGAGAAGATGAGATGAGATGAGAAAGAGTAAGACTTTGATCTGCTTAGCCTCACACTGTGAGAGTGAGAATGAGAACTTAGGTCTAAACACAACCTATTGGAGAAATGGGCGGGTACCATCCAGCCCATACCTATGAATATTTGAAAAACATCACTTAACTGGCCTGGCCTGATGGAAAAAAAAAATAAGGAATTGTTTGGTTTGTATGTGAAGTTATAATTTTAAAAAAAAAAATTAATTTTGTTTAGTTTAAATTTTTTGAAAGGAATTCAAAATTATTTTTTTTTCCTACACATTAATTTATCACTTTCTCAATCACTTTTTCTCTTATACACATCTATTTAACTATAACATAATATCAAATCATCACAAACTCCCAAACTCTAAAATTACTTTTTAAATATATAACCAAACAAACTAAAAAAAATTATAAACTCTCTCTCCAAAATTTTTTAAAAAAATTTATCTCAAAACACAAACCAAACACACCTTATATATTTGGGTCGGATTTCCATGGGTACTTATAGAGTAGGTTCTCCATTGCCATCCCTTGCTCATTCGAGTTCGACCGATTCATTGTCAAAAATGTAAAATTGTCTTCAATTTAAACTTTTTACCTATTTTTATTAAGTAAAATTGTCAAAAAAAATTATATTTTAGTCATTATACTCAACTTAAGCCAAGTTTGGCATGTCTTGAAAAAGACAAAAGGTCAAAAAGTCACTATCCTATTTAAGTCACATCATTTTATTTAAGTCACATCACCTCTCTAACACATCACTTCAAACCCAACCCAAACCCAACCTATATTTCATAAAAAGTCAAAAAGTGCACTTATTTAGATTATTCCAAACAACCCCTTAGGGGTACATAAAAAATATAAACATTCTTTTTTTTCATTAAGTTTATTGAATAAAATATTCTTTTAGTTGATTTTGCCTAACGAAATGGACAAATAGTTTAGATTGAAACCAAATTTAGGCCAAGTTTGGCTAACAAAAATAAGTGCACTTATTTCATCTTTTTATCTTTTTTGGGTCACATCAATCAACATCTTCTCTCTACTTTTTCTACACATAATACAAAAAAAGTCAAAAAATATACTTATTTAGTCTTCCCAAACTTGGCCTTAAAGTTTAACGATCAAACTCTTGAGAGTTTTTTTTGTAATTTTTTCTTTTTTTTTAAATATATTATAAAAAATTGTTCCAAACAGATTTACAGCTTATAAGAGGCCAAAATGAATGTATGTTGTATGATGACTCAACAGAGACGAATTCAGGATTATCACTATAGGGGGCGAAAGTATGTTTAAGGGTACAAATCCTTATAATTTTAAATTATTTTAAAATTTTCAATATAATATTTGATATTTTTCAAATTTTTTGGGGTGCAGTCGCCCTTGTCGCAACCCCTAGAGCCATCCTTGGACACAACGACGCACAATCTAAAATATATATTTCAGTATAAAAGATATGACGATATTTTTATTTTTTTTTATTCATACTATTAACAAATTTCCGATGAAAAGAGAAAAGTATTGTATAAATTAAAATCTTAAGAGGACTTAGTGTAATTATACAAATTTATAGATTGTATTGTGTTTTCTCCAAATTTTAAGGGAGTATAATTTATCCTAAATATTATACAAGTGCAGAAAGGAACAGTCTAGAGACCCACCTTTATCTATCCAAAAAATTTTAGACGAGTGATTGTGTGGTATAAATTAATTTGTATGATGTAAGATCTATATAAAGTGTAATGAAAATTAATTCTGAATAATTTTTAAATTGAGAAGGATGAATTTGTAATATTCCTAATATAGGAACATTGTTGATTGTGCAAGGATAGATTGTTCAAGTGCACAACATCATCGGGGTATGGCTACCCAAACCGTGGAAAGCATAATGCAAGACACCAAGAGAAACAGTCAAAGCCTCAACAAAACGTGGTCGTTTGAGGGGGCAATAGTATCCCCATACCGGTGTAAGAGACGATTGAGAATTCTCTAGAAGATAAGAGTGAGAGTGAGAGTAAGAGAGAGAGAGATGTTTTCATCAACTAAACTTTTTTGTTACAGGAAAATACTCCCTACCCTCCCGCAGGTTCAAGGCAGCGCCCCTTGCAAAAATCACCAGGGTGTCCTGTTAGCCGTTCCGAACGAGAAGACTGTAACCTAAGAACTTGTCTCAACTAAACTTAGTATTGAAAGAGACGTGAAAAATAAAAGTTAAAATCTGTAATGATGAAGTCCAGCTAAAGAGTTGAATAAGGCCTCGTTTAGGAACAGGCTAATTTAGTAACTTTTTGGCTATTTGGCTAAAAAGGTAGGTAAAAAAAACTTGTATGTTTGGGATAACTTTTTGGCTAATTACGAAAAGATGTGCAAAAAATAGAGAGAAAAGAGAATCTTTGACTTTTTAATATGGATTGTTGGCTTTTTGGCTAATTTAGTAACTTTTTGGCTAATTGGCTAAAATAGCCTCTTCCCAAACGAGGCCTAAGTCAATTGTATAACTATGAAAGTCTAGTCTATCTATACTATCTATCTATCTATACTATATATATATCTATCTATCTATACTATATATATAACCAAATGTAGTTGTTTTGTTAAATATCTCCAAATATTTATTCCTAAATTCTCATAATTTTGAAACTCTCTATTTCCTACGTGACAACCTTCTTTGAATGCCTTTCATATTTTCTATTTTTCTTCATTTTCTATTTGTTTGATTAATTATAATTAAAATTAATTTCATTGCTTATGGATAAAGATTTGAATTTCAAAATTTCTCCATATAGATAAACATATAAAACTAAAAATTAATTTTATAGTCTACAGATAGAGATAAAAATTAACCAATTAATTTTAAAAAATTAATTTCATAACTTATAGATAATTTTTAAATTTCTTCCTATAAATAAACAAATAAAAGTTGATAAATAACTTATAAAAATTAATTTCATGGCCTACAAATAAAGATAAAGATTAAATAATTGATTTACAAAAAAAGTAAAACAATAAAATTTAGATAAAGATATGATTTGTTAATCTATATATCTATCAAAAACATAAATATCTAAATTTTTATTTTCATTTTCTCATATTTTTTTTTTCTCCTATCACATATTATTTTTTTTTATTTTAAATTTTTTATCTTATGAAATGTCCTTATCTATAACTTCTTATCTCCTATTGAATTCTTAACCTTCTTTTGATAATTTTTATTATTCGTTATTATCTACCAAGTGATAAAGATTATAAAATAAAATAAAAAATTATCGCTCTGAATGAGAATAGTATTAATAATGAAATAATAAAGGCTACATGGGAGAATGTAGCACAAAAATCTCACAAAATTAATTTTCTTCACTATATTTATAAAAGGTAATAATTTGATATTCTTTTTATTAGTTATTAAAAATAAATTGCAGTAGATCATTTTTTTATAAGGCTGTCATTCGTTATAGTATTTCTCCAATC